ATTTGTACTCTCCCTGGAGAATGCACTTTTGATACTCGAAGCTGGCCGGAGCGCCGACAAGTATTAAGCTCAGTACGCACACTGATGGGGAATAACAGTCGTCTCACTAATCTGTGGCCTTTTAAGCCAGGTTTAGCAAAACGGTCGTCCGTCTAGAGCGTTGACTCATGCTTGACTTTGCGAAGTACAAGGTTCGACGCGAACTTCGAGATTACAGCCCAGCACCTCCAGTTTCCAACATTTATAACTTCGGTCATCTCCATAATTTAATTTCTAAGTTCCAAATACAGATGTAACAACTATCGACTAAGGAGCTTAGTCACAACAGGAACGGTCCCTACTTATAAGAAGAAAGTGATGGCGACTCTGCTTCAATTCCAAGGGCGATTAAGATCGTGATTGCGCCAGGTCGTAAGTGACCACGAAACCAGGGTAATCTTGCCGAAGTCGACCCTCAACCTCATACGAGTTTCCGACTGAGGGTATCCTTTCCGCACCACCAGGTATCGGTAACAGCCCTAATGTATGAGTCGGTCCGCGAAACGCTCCACATGGAAGTTGCCATCCCTTGGTCATCGAGAGTTGCCAGCAAAGGTCAACATTCCCGCTAATAGTCCTCGCGGGTAATCTTGGTCGTGGCGGCGCGTCAGCTGTCTCTGAAATCGCGACTACGATTAAACCTGATATGGGTTCGATCGATCGCTGAAAAGCGCCATCCCGTCGGTACTAAACTGGAAATTCATTAAGTACTTGCTCGGCTGAATATATTGAATTTTAAGAAGATGATTGTGTTTACAATATAACAAAACCAGACTAAATTATATTTCGTGGCTTAAAAGCCCCCTGCGTTTCTTAACCGCGTCGATGTTTCAATGCAGAGATCTGCTCAACTACAGACATGGTAGAGACGCCGCCTCTCCTCAAAAAGAGCTCTTCACATTTGATTGGCTCATAAGTGAAAAGTGGGTTGTGGATCGGCTTCAAAAAACCTACTTGAACACAGGATGCGTTAAGTGCATAACTCAGTCACTTGATAAATACAACCGTAAACGGCGCAACGTAGTGTGGTTGCAACTTCGTCGTATATACCACAGACATTGCATGTGTGGACAAGTTGATCTTATCTAATAGAATATTTGGTACACAACGTATTCGTGTGTACTCCACCTACCTTGGGCAACGGCATTCCACTTATATACATCCTGGCTCTCAGCAATAGCGTCGATCCAGGATGTGCATGACGCTTAATCCCATCGAGATAGAATTGCTGATTTTGTTACGAGCAGTAGCCGAACTGATCTTAGCAAGTCCACTTGACCAACAACCCCCTACTGAGACCAGAGCTACTTTGTAGCGGTGCAAAAACACCTAGGGCTTTACCCAAGTATTTAAACAATATTAGGTTCAGCCTGTTTATGCATGTACTGGATTATTGAGCGCAATTACAAGGGGCGGGAATAACTCACTTCGGTACTGCGATCGCTCAACGCAATTGCTTCGGTTGATATATCGATAAACATGTTCGCCTGACTATTTGCGTGTGTATGATACTTGACTGACATATCCAATCTGGCGCCTAGCAACATGACCATTGTTCGCCAAAACTATGCTGTGGAGCGCGGACCCCTATTCAATACAATGGCCCATCTTGGTTTAATAGTTTATACATATACATCCTAGCAGCAACCTGATCTTTCAGAGTTTTGCTGGCATAAGCGAGAAAATCTGTCTCGCTAAGACAGTTTTCAAAATCATATCGCCGGTTATTTGGTTTGAAAGACGAAAATGAAAGTCCGTACTGCTAGACTACCGACACTGCGGTAGCTGACAGATTGGCCAAAAGCACCGCCGCATGTGGCGAGGATTTTTTCCCATTAACAGGTTTACATGCAAGCGCACAAAGGTGCTATCCCCACTTATATATATATCAGACAACCTGTATATATTGCTCACCAAGCGTTTTGTGTTTTCTCTCCACCAAAAGATATCAGTGTACTTTAAGTCCATCATGAAGCATCACTACACTTTGAGCATCATGTGGCTCACATCAATATAAAAGCAAGCCTTTGGATAAGACATAGAGGCACAGGCGTAGAACTGCGCTCCACGAAAGCAGCATCTGAGCTCTCAAACTCCACACCTTTTTAAGCTTCCAGCAACGTAACACATGTTACGTCTGATCCGCACGCTGTACGCATCGCCTCATGATTTGGTGACATTACCATCGTAAATAGTGAAAAATCGAGGTCGAAGAGGCGCAAAAGCGCATACCCAACCACACTGAGTCGCCTGGCTTACACCGTACTTCAAAGCCATACTCGACAAAGAGGGGTTAGCACTTTTGCCACCGTCTGCAAGCGATAAGGTGGCAACGTCGCTATGCGCAATGACGCATGATTTGTACAGATCACAAACGGCTTCAAGACAAGCTGGTCCACTCTGAACCTGCCGAGGGCATACTTTATTGCAAGGAATGCCTTGTAAGAAACAAGAAACTTTTTCTCTGCTGTTCTAAGTTGGCGAAACTTAATGCTATCGAAGTTCATTTCATCAGCTTGCACCCTATCGCGAAGGCTAAAGCGTCACAACCGACATAGAATGTCCGATCTGGATAAGGGCCAGAATTGAGGCCTGTTCCACAGCCTTGGATACCGCCTCTTTTGCCGCGCCCAACATAATTTGACATATATTCAGGAAGAAATATTAATGAGGGTTGGTGCCATGTCGGGGTTCGTGCCGTATTTTTGCAAGTAGTTGGTCAGACCAAACCACTTTCTGAAGTTCTTTTGGGGTAGAGGCACTGGCAAATCAACCAAGGCCTTTGCCTTTTGGGTTCTGTGCTCGCAGACCATGCGTCCCAGTAAGACACTCAGAGCTAGAATATACATCGACGCCAAAGAAAGACATGTGTACACTGGTAAAACTGCTAATTTAAGCGCATGAACTTGAACATTATGCAAGTGTTTAGATGTATCCAACTCACCAAGCACTATAAGGCTTTGGAACAATCTAACGCCGAGATGGGTATATGCAAAGCCACCATATGTTTGAGCAGCTGCTGCGCAAGGCGAAACGTTGATGCTGCATTTGGCAGTCCTTGTAGTATAGCCCACAAATTCTAGCGCATCCCGCAAGAATCTTACACCGTAGTGAGAGAGAGACTGCTACCTTTAAACGGCTATTGATAAAAATTATTGGCCAGGTCAAGGGCACAGAACAAAGTACACTTGACTTTGCTATTCTGCAGCCTTTTTTTTTCAAAAATCGGCGTATGCGCCGGAATTGTGGCTGCATTTCGCTTATTATAGAACGGCATAATATGCCATAGCCTTTCAGAAAACGAATATCGGCTCTGAGTGAAAAGAAAACTCGTTTTCACTAGATTCACTTCATTCATCGCATGGCAGAAGTTTAAATGACACCACGTTGCTCTTTTGGTGAGGACCCATTGCCGTATTTGAATCAAGTCATTTGTACGGCGTACACCACTTCCAGGAGCAGCACGCGTGATGGATTTCTTACCCACACGTCGTGATATTCATTTAGCAGATGATTGAAAACCCAACAAACCTTGCGGGTTGCTGTCCCATTTATAGCTCTCGATACTCTATCAGAGTCTTCAATGGCAGATCCAGCCATGAGAAATTAGCAGTTCATCTCCTACCCCGTTCCATGCGTACCATCTTTTTTTTTAACTTCACCGTCATGCAATTCCTTGCACATGGACGCGAGGGATAATTCCTCCAGCTATTGATATTCATTCACGTGCTCTGGAACGGGAACCGCAATAATCTCTATCCACCGGTCTTGATCAGAGAACGTCAGATCACACTCGTTGTCTTACACCCCTTCTGGAAATAGGGACATACAGCCATTCTTTTCCACCGCACCCTGAGATCGCAGCTCACTGTAGCTGTTGCCTTTCGAGCTCCGCTTGAGGCACCTAAGAATACCACCAAACAATCCCCGGAAGTGCGCGCACACCAAGAGCACTTCTGCTTCTTGGCAGAATTGGGTTCATAAATTATCAAAGCTCCATCAGGATATAAGTACGTAGCACCTATAAATTTACCTTTCGTACTTCGAACGGCCTCGCGGTAAAAAAGTAGTATCCTGAATTCATGCGACAACCTTAGTAGAGTCTAGATTATCTTGGAAGGTCTCGGTGCGAGCCGCACCCACTCGGAAGCCTTTCACGAATAATTTATGTACGGCGATGAACTTTCTCAGCTGTTGGGCAGATATTATTTCTTCTAGCTTCCGATCATTCACGGTACGCCTGGAACAGGCTCATGTAACCCGTGCATTATCAATCAACCTTCTTGTATTGATGCAGATTATTTTGTGGCGGCTATTGTGTACAACGTTGTTTCACCCCCACAAGTGTATCTGACCAAAGATGTTAAGGTTATGATAAGTATACTATTAAGCAATGCGTTGCGTCTTCTTTCCAAGCATTATAAAAATTGACCGCAGCACATTGCACTTGGTTTTGCAGTTACTCTAGAGATCGGTCGGAAGTAAAGATAACTGTTTATGCGACTTTGCTGTAAGACCCAACATTTTACATATGTTAGCTGCTGCTCGTTTAGGTAGCACTTGAATGTGATACTATCGCCTCTTCCGAACAACACAAAGGGGGAGAATAAGGGTTCCCAATTCACACAAGTACTGTGTTTGACTTTTACACAACAATACGATCTAAAGCTACATCCCCACTATAAAATTTTTCTGTTGCCTCAACAAAAGCTCTACTCCAAAGAGCTGCCACGGTGAGATAGGTTCGAGCTGGGTTTCAGATATATACCGGATATTGTATGACAAGTCATCTCTTATACTTGGGTTTATACTTATAATAGAGGACAATAAGCCATTTATGTATTAAACTTCAATAAAGTTATGTTTACCACATCATTTACAGCCATAAACCATCAGTTTAAAAGTCCTTTTTGGCGGCACCATCACTCTTGCGTTTGTCCGCAATCTCTCTGCAATCCACGATGCCGACCGAGCTGTCTCCGATCAAGTCGAAGCGAATGGAAGAGAAAGCCTCGCTACAGGTACTTTAATATGCACACGAATTGATTTAGTTTGACAAGAGTAACTCATAATCATGCGGTATTGTCTTTTATGACAGCAATTAAATTCCCGCCTCGAAATGTATGTTTTAGGTGTCAATGAACTTGAAGGAGCGAAACATGCAGCCGAAAAAGAGTTAGAGACGATAAAGCAACGCATGCAACAGGATCTTGAGAGCGTGCGACTTCGATTGACGAAAGAACTTGAAGAGACTCGCAAGTACAGACATTGTTCTTTTTGTGGAAACTTTTCTCTTTTTATTTGATACACTCATTATGACTTGAACAATACTTACGCAGAAAATTGGATGATGAGATGGACCAAAATGCTAGACTGCAGACACTTGAGCAAGAACAATACAAGGAGTTAGTAAAGCTCCGAGCACAGCAGACAGAGCTAGGAAATGCCAAAGTGTTGGCAGAGACGCTACGTGTACAGTTGGAAAAGGAAAAAGCCGATGCGACATCAGCTAAGGAGACGCTCTCAGAACAGACGACACAGCTTAACGTAGCAAGTCGTCGCGTGAAGGAATTAGAACGTGAGTTGCGTGGCCTCTTGGCATTATTAAATGATGCAAAGCAAGAATTGGAAGAATTACGTAAGAAAAGTACTGATTTTGACCTGACGCGAGATGCTGAATTATCAAAGCTGCGACGGGAGTGGGCAGCGAAACATTTAGAGGCTCAGGCACAATGGAAAAAGGATACAGAGGACCGTCTGCAGTCTATGGAAATGGAAGTTCGAAGTCATTTTGAAAGTGTTTCGAGTAGTTTACAGAATCAATTGGACGATGTACAGACCGAATTGGACAGTACAAAAAAGGAATTAGATCGAACAGCAACTGACTATGAGGAGAGTTTGAAGGCTCGTCAGGCACTTACGGAAAAGGTGGCACAACTGGAGCGAGAGTACCGAGAAGTACGAAGTAAAGCGACACGAGATCGCAAAGCGTACGAAGAAACATTAGAGCGTTTTCGATCTTCTAAAGTGGCTAAAGAACGCGAGTTCAATGAGCTTATGGACGTCAAAATTGCTTTGGATGCAGAGATTATGAAGTATCGACGTATTTTGGACCGGGAAGAAAGTCGAGTGGCCGCTTCAACGCCAAATACAAAAGGGCGAAAGCGGAAAAATGAGAGTACAAATGACGTGACGATGAAACGAACAAAACGCACGAGTATTGAGACGGAACCGCTTTCGTCAGCAGTGCATATTGCGTCACTAGATTTGGAAAAAGATCGGATTGTACTGAAAAATACAAGTCACGAACCAATAGCGTTGGGTGGCTGGGTCGTGCGAGGCCAAATGGACCAGACTTTTCGATTTCCAGCGACGTATGTGATGCGACCCCACTCAACGCTTACTGTTCATTCGAGCAAACGAAATAAAAATGCAAAGCATGAACGCAAAAAAGGCGAAGATTCGTTTTTGGCTAACAAATTTTCGCTGAATCCGAAAGGTGACTTTGTCGTCCTGCTGACGTCTGAGGATATTCCAGTAAGTTTTAAAAGTGAAGGTTTACCCGAGGAGGAAGTTCGTGCTATCGAAGATGACCTACGCGCAGATTTTCTGGATGATGAAGCTCCTCCCTTTGGAAACGTGCGTACATTTCTTTAAATTTCAAAGCTATTGATGAACTAATGCTCATGTTTTGATCTTGTTGGTAATTCCAGTGTGGTATGATGTAAAGCAGAATACAAACGACATGGCTCAAAGATTCAAGTTCTCACTTTGAGGCCATTTTTGAAGACTCCACTTTGTCGTAATGAATAACAATAATTTTCTTTAATGTTGAATAATCACAAACTAAAAACCAAATAGTACATTTATAATATATTAAGTTTTGAATTTAGACCGTTTCAATATCTGTATGATTAAAATTTGATCTCGTTTCAAAATGGAGACCCTGCCGCTATTAGATGAGGCTATCACGTACTTACAAGCGGAGATCGCTGCGCTTCGAGCCGGAGAAAAAGATTCGATCCTACCATCACTTGCTGTAGCTGTAGCAGCTGGTGAAGCTCCACTTCCTGAGCCTCAATTTACACCTCTTTTAGCACGATGGACCCCAAGAGCTTCATCTTTTTCCACGGAACTTGCGGCACTTGTGGACCAGTTTGAGGCCGCAAAGCGACGTGAGATGGAAAATGAGATTAAAAGAGAGAAAAGTGACGCGAATTTGCCTGTACACTCGGCACTGCAGCGAGTTAGGGGACAAAGAACGAGGCCTAGAACGAGACCAAGGAGAAGGTTTGAAGATCCAGATACAGGAGATGCTTCACCATCTGCTAGTGATGGAACGCCCACTGCTTCACCTCGAGAAGATGTGGGTGTAAACATTGAAAAGAATATGAAAGTAGAAGAGAATGAAGAAGAAAAGAAAATCGAGAAAGAAGTTGATGATCAGATGATGGAGGAAAAGAAAGAAGAGAAGGAAGAAAAGATTGAAGAGATTAAGTCGAAGGAAGTTAAAGTAAATGAGACAAAGAATGTGGGAACAGAGAAGTTTGATGTTCAAGAACAATGTGAGAATATGAAAAGAGATAAAGAAGCTCAAGCGAAGATGAACGAGGATGACAAGATGAAGACTGAAGGAAGTGGAAGAGAAGAGGAAAAGAACGAGAAGCAGGTTGTCAAAGCGAAGAATCCGGAGAAAGAGGAAGCGGAGGCTGCATTGGCGAGCTTAAAGTCACTTCGAAAAAGTATGTTGCTAGATGTATTGTCAAAGATTGTATCTGTGGCGAAAAGTAAAGGTGTGGATCCCGCCATCTTTACAAAGGATGGAATAGAAATTTCTCCAAATGAGAAGAAAGTTGATTTAAAGACAATTCAAGAACGAGTGGCGAGTGGTATTGTATGTGAGTGGGCACAATTTGCAGAGCAGGTAAATCTCTTCTGTCAACATGTTGTGACAAATGCAGAGCAACGAGAACAAGCAGAAGCAAGACGTAAAGGTGTCGAGTTATTACACTTTGCTCGAACTCTTACTGAGACATTGCGCAAAGCTAGTGTAAAGAAAGAAATGATATTGTTGCAGAAGATTCAAGATGCAGAAGAAGCAGCCGCTGCTCGAGAGAAGGCATGTATCAATGATTCAGAGAAATTCAAGTACAAGAATGACAAAGAAGATGAACATGTTGAAGAACAGAAGTTCAAACCGACAAATGGAGATGATTTAAACATGACAGTAAAGAATGAAGATACTCGGCCGTCGCTACTTACACCAACACGTGCACTTCGGCAAATTCGACAGCGTCCAAGTCTTCCATGTGATTCAATTGAGCACTCTCCATCTCCTCTAACAAAAAAACGAATTCGTGATACTTCCATCTCTGCAGCTTCAGCAAGTGAAGATGCAAGTGGTTCAGAAAGTCATGACGCCTCGACATCTGACGCTGACGTCAAATCTCGTGGACGTGTCAAATCTTCAAAAACATCTGCAAAGCGCACCCCAACACGTCGACGACGACTTTCAATACCAGCAACAAGAACAAGTTCACGACAACAAAAGCGACGAGCTGCAGCAGCTGCAGCGGCTGCTGTTGATAGTGGAGATGAAGGAGGTAGTGGAGGTGAAGTTCTAATGTCACTTGATGAAAAAGAAGAAGGTGAAGGTGAAAATGACGATAAGAAAAAAAAAGTCAAGTCAAAAGTGAAGAAAAAAGTGAGTCGGAACAAACGGTAGTACAAAATTTTAAACATGGTTACATTTCATCGTACATTTTTACTTTTATAATCATGGCGAGTAATCGACGTCGTGTTGTCTTACACTTTGATCTAAATCGTACGATCCTTATGTCAGATGCTGCGGGTGGTCGTACGATGGAGGATACAGTCAATTATCTTTTATCCGAGTGTACGTGGGGGTACATCAATCCCAAGTGTCCGTCCGAGTGGATCTGCGTCTCAACTGCTGCTTCAATTGACCCGCCCAAGATAACATCTCGTGTACCCCATCTTGTAACCTATAAACAATTTGTTGATGATGCTTATCCGTACGAAACTGTACGGACAGCCACAACTTGTACCCTCGACCAAATCAAGACTACAAACAAGGTTATCAAGTCACAACGTACTGCGTTACAATCGGCTTTCATTGGTGGAAAAGATACCCCAGGGTATCCTGTGCAACATTCCTTTACAGAGGTCATGCAACATCTTTATTTTCCACATGAGAAACAACAAAATCTGGCAAAACAGCTGGCAGCAAATATGCCATTATCGAGTTTGCAACAAGCATGGAGTGAAGGTCGATTTTATTTATTGCCATCCTTCCTACACTTTCTGTCATATTTAAATTCGCCTCATGTGACCAAGTTGGAAATTGATGTGAAACTTGTGTTTCGAACGTTTGGTAAGGATCTGAAAGACGTTGCTCAAGAACTTGAGCTTTTAATTGCAGGACAACACCCAATGATGTGTCCAGCATTACCAGATCGATTTCGTCTTGATGTGACACGTTTATCTCATTCTATCGGTGCTTTTTATCGTCATAGTTTTGATGCCAATGGAACGACATTAGCTGTTGGTACATTAACGAAACAACCATTTTTGTCGAAAGATTCCAACACGACGTTGGTGTTTGACACTGATATCAATGATAATGTTAAGATCGTACGTGGTTTTCAATCAATTCAAGAAACCTTAGAGAAAATGATGCAAGAATCGAATGTACTTGCACTTCGTGATGATTATGAATGGTGGAGTACTCATGCTGAAGATGCACAATATGGAAAACTTTTGTTAGTGAATGAAAAAGAACCTCGTGATATTGTGGTGTTTTTTGATGATCATATTGAAGCACATGACGCACATATTGTCGATGTACGTGATCTTGAATCAGGTGAACCGGTGGATTTTGTCAAAAGTCGTGGGAAATATTTACAGCGAGTGGAACCTTTAGCAGCAATTTTGGATCCAAATTATTTCATTACATTGTTTGAAAAACACGTTCTAAAAGAATAAATTTGGGATTATTCTTGTTGAAAAAGTTATTGAATATAATGTTTTTAAACCAATCATACACAAGAGAAAATAACTTTTCAGAATTTGAGAATGGATAGTCGAAGTGCGAAACGCAAACGTACGGACACGTCGCGAGTCATAACATCGGAACGTACGCTCGAGGATGTTGAGCTTGAACTTCTTCATGCACTTGAAGAGGAGATTAAAAAAGAAGAGAAGACGAAGAACTCGAACAAGATCCAATCTTTCCCTCTCGAAGATGAAAATTATGACGAATCAGATGATGAATAGATTTTCAGGTTGCAAAACACAAAAATATTAGAGTTGAAATCTATTGTTAAGTTGGAAATTTAAGTTTTTTCTTTGATTCCTTTTGAAACCTTTTCAATCTCTTGCTTCTCCTTCCTATTTCTGCCATCGGTTGCTTTCGTTCCTTTATATAGCGTAAGAAAAAAACGAATTGAAAAGTTGTTTCTAAAATCAGATTCACAAACTCAAAACATCGATGAGCTTAGAAGGAAACACTTTATATAAAGAAAAAGCACGTGTGCGTGTTCGTAATGATGATGGTGAGTATGAAAATGCTACAATTGTACGACAACATCGTAATGGCGACTTGACGGTGAAATTTAATGAGACGGGAAAGATTGCGAGAAAAGTTCGAAAAGATCGCGTCCAGACTGCTGAAGATGATGAAGATTGTAAACGAGATGATCAGAGCGAGAACGAAAGTTTAGACTTTGAAATTGAAACATTAATTAAGTTTCGTGATGAAAAAGGAGATTGGATTGATGGTCGAATTCATAAAGTTCGAAGCAATGGAAAGTTTGACGTTAGAGGTGAAGGTGAAGCGAATGATGTGATGAAAAATGTAGCACGTCGAGATCTTCGAAAACGCAGTTTAAAGCAGAAAGATATTCGTGATAATGTTGAACGTCATGATGAAGATAGTGATGAAGAGAAGCGAATGGTTAAGAAACGAAAGGCACGAAAGAAACGCGAGATGGTTACAAGTGAAGATGAAAGTGACGATAGTAGTGATCGACAAAGACGTTTTCAAACACATCGTGGAATGCGAACTCTTTTTCGCGTGAATCAACTTGTAGAGTTTGAAGATAAAAGTGGACGCATTCGTCGAGGATGGATTCAAGTTGTTAATCGAGATGATCGTACGTGTGATATTATCCATGAAAATGATCGTGAAAAGATTTCGAAACGAATTCCTTTTGACGTGATTCAAGCCACTTCAGCTTACAATCGTTTCTTTGGTGGAAGAAATCGAAATATGATACCGATTCAAGTGAACACGCACGTTTATTACCGTACAAAAGATGGTTTTGAACGTAAAGGAATTGTTTTAAATATTTCTCAAAGCAGTGGAAAACCAGTATATGATGTCGAAGATTTACTGGATGGAACGATGATTAAAAGTCTTGATAATGGACGTTTGCGAGTAGTTCCATGGCTTGATTATTCACTTCCTTCTTTCAATAATTTTCCAAAACTTCCAAATTTTTCTTTCTTTTCGACTCCAATTCTTCGTCGAGGAATGAACGTTCGTTTTCGTACTAAACGAAATGAATGGCAAGATGGAATGATTCGAAAAGTTCAAGCCAATGGTTGTTGTCTAATTGATTTTTATGGACGAAATGGAGAAAAACAACGTGAAGAAGTGAAAAATGTTGATATTGATACACGAATGTTTCGAATGCCATTTTATGGTATGTTTGACAATGTGTTGAATCATTTGACGTTACCAACACTTCAATTGAATTCTGGAATGTTGAAAATTGGAAATGCCGTCGAAGTTTCAAATGGTGTCAAGACATTTCTTGGAACAATTTTAAGTCTAAATGAAATGGATCAAACGTATACAATTCAATACGAAGATGGTCGAAAAGAAAAAAGTGTTTCAAAGGATCGTGTTCGAGTATCTTTACGTCGTTTACAAATTGGAACGGAAGTTGAAATGATTGTGGAAGGTCCTTGTAAGGAAATTTCAACTTTAGATGGTGAAGTTGCTTGGATTCATCATGATGAAAAAGTTGCTGTACGAATAAATGGAGGACATAATGATGTCTTTGCACAAGTTTGTACGCATGCTTTGATGGTAGATGGAAAACCAGCATTTACTGCGCCATTAAGTAGTACGTGGTTAGAACTCTATGGTTATTATTGTAATTTTGGTATTGAAATGGGAATTTATGGTTGGTTTTTTTGGGGGTTACTTCGAGAATTTGATGATATGGTGAATGTATACCAAGAGACAAGTTCGGAGTTTTTAGAAAATATACAACATATGACAGTAATTTATAATTCTAGTCATGTTGAATGGGAAAAGTGTTGGATGCATAATAGCACGTCTACAGACATGTTTCTCTTGATTCCAAGTGTAATTATGGCAACAGATCGTGTGTGGTTATTACTTTTATTAATTACAAAAGTAATTGCATCAGTAGTATGTGTGTACTTGGTTTTATCGTGTATTCGTTCAAAAGTATCGGCATTACAAGATGAGTACGTTTATTTATGTAATTTACAATTCTAGACATGATGTTACTAAAACTTACAATGTAATATTTCAGGTTTATTGACTTAAAAGAATATCAACAAGAACGTGTGTTACGACGTCATTTAGCTACTGCTATGGGGTACACTTTGGTGGTTACATATTTGACACTTGTTGATTATGCTTCATTTCTAAATCGATTCGATCGCTATTGTCTTTTAACTGACACACACTTGAGTTTCGATGAACTTGCTTTTCGTATCGATCCCTTTGCACTTCATATTGAGTACATTTCTCCTGTTCAGAGGTTACTCAATCTTGGTGCGATGACAACATTTAATCTTTTTCGAGGTGTAACCTTTTACGTGTTACTTTTTGCGTTCCCAACAAGTGGTACAAATTTCTTACGACGTCTTGTGTTTTTGGTCCCATCAATTTTACTTACGACGGTACTATGTGCCATTGGATTAGCTGCTGTTCACATATTTTACTACGTTCAAAAGAATGACATGATGAAAAATGATAGGCTTGATATGACCCGCAGTACAGATCTTGCAGTGTCTTTATTGGGTCTTTCTCTTTGGTTTATTTATTCAGGGTATAATTTGATAGCTGCAGCTGGCAGATTTTCAGAAATTCGTTTAGAACGACACCGAACATCACGAAATGTAATTTCAGATGAAGTTCTAAATCTAGCAGAACGTGGTGAATTTGGTCTTCAAGCTCAACGTGAAGCTTTAGTGACTAAAGTGGAGCAACGACAAGATGAACTTGGTATTTGGAAGTTGACTATCTTACGTATACATCGTCATCGTCTTGTTCATATTTTAGCAGCCGTGATTGCAATATATATTGATGTAACTTTGCGTCATGAGATCAAGAAGGAAGATGAGAGTTCGGTGGTACAAAATGCTTTAGCTTTTCATCTTGCATTATCTATTACGTGGCTTTTGATATCTTTAATAACAGGAGTATGCGCGTTAACAGTAAGACAACAAATGCCAGAATTATTGGCGTATATTTTAGATGTATAGCATTTGATACAATAAAAATTTTTAATATTGCATCCTATCACTTTGTTATGATGACAAAGCTTACTTTACAAAAGCTAAATATAACCACATCTAATTTCTAATTTCTTGATTAAGCATTTGGACAAAACATTTGATCTAATTAACTTTTGAAGCGTCAGTCACGACTCCTCGTGATTTCTTCACAATTGTAATGGGAGGCGCTGCATCTGTCGAGCATACGCGTTACGATGAAAACAAATTTCTTCAATCGATGGCTATTTTAGAGTCGATTGGAGATGATGCGGAGAAATTTTCAAAACTTAAAGCTATTTGGACGGACAATGTATCGGTTGTTAGTGCTAGAAACAATGAGATGGAGGAATCTACGAATCAAGAGGATAAAGTTGACAATAAGGAAAGAGAAGACGATGTGATTAATGATCACCACAGTGAAGAAGAAAGCCATCAGGTTTTGAATGAGGACACAAATGTTCAACAAGTTCAAGAAGTTCATACGTTTACGGAAATGGAAAGTAGTCACACAAAGGAATTGAAAGTTACTCCACGAATTCCATCTACGACAATATGTATAACCACATTACCTTCCATGAATGTTTCGAATGAGCTACAGAACGAGAACGATCAAAAGGAGATTTAACATTACAAACAGACCAGTTTTTAGACTCAATAAAAAAACTAGTTTTATTCTGAATTTAGAACATTCTTAATTCTGTCCATACAATAATGTCATATTGCGTATCAGTTCGCAATTTCCAATCTTGTACGCACGCCCACAATAATGCTCGCACGCAGCGCTCAATCTCTACGCCGCATGTCATCTCCATATTCCGCTGCTTTCTCCACGAATACAGACATTACGTTTGCTAATCTACAAATTCAACGCACGACAAATCCTAAGGTGAAATTGCCGAAGGAGGAACTTAAATTTGGTAAGACATTTACTGATCACATGCTTGAGGTCGATTGGGAAATGGGGAAAGGATGGGGTGATCCTGTCATTCGTCCATATGGTCCTTTTGCTATGGATCCAGCTTGTGCTGTATTACATTATGCACTTGAGTGTTTTGAAGGCATGAAAGCTTATGTAGACACACAAGGTCACATTCGTCTCTTTCGTCCAGAGATGAATATGAAGCGTCTGAATAACTCGATGAAACGACTTTTATTACCAGAATTTGATGGTGATGAATTGATCAAGTGTTTAAACGAACTTTTGCGTCTTGATAAGGATTGGATTCCTCAAGGAGAAGGATATTCGCTTTATATTCGTCCAACGGGGATCAGTACACAAGCTTCTATTGGTGTTGGAGCTAGTGAAAAAGCTAAACTCTTTATTATTCTTTCACCTGTGGGTCCATACTATCCAGAAGGATTTAATCCAGTGAAATTGGTTGCAAATGATCGGTATATTCGTGCGTGGCCTGGTGGTACAGGTGGATTTAAAGTTGGTGCGAATTACGCTCCTGGAATTTTACCTCAATATGATGCTCATGAACGTGGTTATTCTCAAAATTTATGGATTTTTGGACCTGATCATGACATTACCGAAGTTGGAACGATGAATTTGTTTATTCATTGGATTAATGACAATGGAGAGAAAGAACTTATTACTCCACCATTAAGTCGAGGGGATATTTTACCTGGAATTACGCGGGATTCGATCTTGCATGTTACACGCAATTGGAATGAATTTAAAGTGACGGAAGGAAATGTTACGATGAAACAAGTACAAAAAGCGAGTCGAG